AAACACAGAGAAAATGGCCTCAAGGGAAAGCTCTGCATAATAAGCTTGAAATTGCTGCTGCTGGAAATACTGTTGCTGCTTTTCCTGCCGGGGCTGTCACCTCACTCAACAATTTTAGCTTCAAGTGGAGAGCAGAGCTTTATTTTGAGCATCACTAAAGGCCAAGGTTTATGCTGCTGGATTTCTCAAACTGAGACCACTATGCTCATTGGTACGTGGATGGCATTTTTAAAGAGGAAATAGGCCAGGAATAGCCCATGGTCTCAAAAGTTAAAAAGACAAGTTAAAGAGCAGAAATAAAAAAGCATATAGAAGCCATATTTTTAGAAGAGATCTGCACCATACTAAGTGGGAACTCATAAGTTAAATGAATAGGGAGTCCAGGTAATTTAATTGATAACAATTTTCATAGAGATATGTAAATCATTCCCAAGATTTTTAGTTCCATTTTCTACCTTCCCTTCTTGGCTGATAAGAGCAAAGAAATTGATTCTAGAGAGAAAAGCAGAGCTATGGACTGCCTGAGATTCTCATTCCCCAAGGTTATTTCTTCAAGATGGTCTCATAGAAGCCTTGGTTACTGTTCAAGTCATGCCTAAATGGGAGAAACACAATGAATGAAAGGAAGTCAGAAGGGAAACTACAAAGCACAGTATTGTAAAATGTTCTTAACTTGATGAGTTGAGCACATGGATGAATATTTAGTGGCCTTTTTAATGCAGTAACCACTTTTCAGTGTTACTCATCTATCTGAGTGGTTGCTGTAGTTACAGCATAACCCTGAGAATTGGCAGAGAGGGAATTGTGTATTCTGTGACATTCCCTAGCCTGTGTGAAATATTTCTTGTAGCTTAAAGTAGGTGGTAGCTGGAAAGGTCTATGACTGTATACACAGAAATTTATTTCCTAATCCCAAATAGAGATTATCAACCTTATATTTCAGGATTTATCTTGTTTAAACATATTCATGTACCTTCAGATATCTTGTCATGCAAGTGAATATTTAAGTCTCACTTAAGTCCTGGAACTTTATAGGGAGTTTGTGAAATACATAACAATGTAGGTCATAAAGTAAACCTTATTATTATTTTAAGAAGTGAAGATTTAAGGTCATTTATTTATATAGGTGCTGACTGTTGTAAAGCATAGGAGACACTAGGGGAGGTTTGTTTATGGAGTCAATTTACTGGAAAATCAACAATGTCAATGCTGCTCTAGCTCTAATATTTGGAATGAGTCAGGCTTGACATTTTGAGTTGAAAAGAACGCAGAATTTAGAACCAAGTTAAGAATATACTGGATGGAAGGACAAATTAGATTTTTAAATTGACATGCAGTGCTAAAACTAGGCACAGCTTGCCTGGATTCAGAAAAATGACTAATACAGGAAAAACCTGGACTTGGGAGGAGGGAATCAGTGTAGGGAATGTGTGCAAAATGCTATAAGAATCCTGAGGAGAAAGCAAGGAAAGGCACAAGTATTAGGTGCTTGGCAATAAGTGCAGAAAATGTATTATTAATAATATATTAATATGGAGTTAAGAGGTGAAACAAGAAGAAATATTAATTTTAGATCACATCCCTCTCAAATTCTGTTCCTTGCTGTCAAATGGATTGTCACATCACAGACAGGATATGATTGCCATGGAGATGGTTCCAAGGACTTCTATGATTTAATTTTTGCTGGGTTAATATTTTTTATATGCTTCCATAAGAGTAAATGATCATCCTTGTCTTGCTTCTTGTTGCAACACTTATGTATGCTGTTTTTATCTAAGGACTCTGCAAGTTGTTTATACATATGTTCTTCAGAATACTGGAGAGCCTGCACTTTGTACTGTTAGACTACAGATGAAAATTGTTATTTTCCTTATACTTTATATGCTGTGGCTGTATATCAAAATGGAAGGATGGCCTTAGGGAAGGATGGCCTTCCCTGCTTTCAAAAACTGTTAAAATATCTGTGAGCTAAGAATTTTAATACATACCTTTGGGAAAATTTGTACAGTGATCTGAAGTAGTGTGACCCTGATAGAATAAGGTAAAAGATGCTTCTAATATCCTCTCTTTTTCATTGCAGTCATATTTCTGTACTTGTACTTGTGTAGTTTTGTCCAGACATTGATGTTGTCAGAACATTCAGACTCTCCATTGCAATCTTTCACTGCTAGTTTTGGAATATTCCAAAAACTTTTTGCCCCAAGATTTAGAGAAGTACATAAATAATTCTTTTAAATTAAATGTCGTTTGTTGGCTGACTACAACTGGCATATGCAGTGGAAGGGGTAATGGTGGTTCCTGTGCCAGCAGGAATACAGAAATTGCTCTTTCCAGGAATATACCAGGCATGGAAATTGTTGTGAAGTGCAGGGGAGGTATTGCTCTCCTTTTCCTCTGCCCTGTAGACCCGATTATTGCCAGTGGTGCTGCAGAGAGGAAGGGGAAGGAATTGCACTGGGAAGAAGAATTTCTCCTGGGATTTATTGAGATTGAAAAGGATTTTTCTTCCATTTCTGAAACATCAATAGACTGATTATTGAGATGAGCAGTGATTGTGCTGAAGGATGGAGGAAGGAGAACAGCTTTAGCTGAGCTGCCAGTACAGAAAAATAAAGAAGCTGTATTTATTGCCAAATTCTAGAAGGATTCTCTCGAAGCCAATCCACGGAAGCATAGAGATGAATGCCTTGTGTGCTCAATGACTCCTATTACTTCTGACAGCAGAGCACTAGGCCCTCTGTAGCAGAAGTTTGTTTTTAGCGGAGTTCCACATCCTTCTGACCCTTGCACCTACATGCCCACCCTTAGAGTATTCTTGTTCAGCTAAGAGCTTGAATGCTGCTATTCTTGGAACAGAGGGTTTTCTTCATACAGGTCACCATCAAAGACAGGAAATGTAAGAAGGCAGCAGCAAAGATCTAGATGCAACTGATGAAGACATTGCTGGAAGTGAGAATCTCCTTTCCTATAACTGAACAAGCAGTTCTCTCTTTAGTAAATGCCAGCTTTCCTACCAGGCAAGAAGACAACCTTTATTCTTAGATCAGCAGATTCAGTCTCTGCTCGGAGCTGGAGAGTTGAGCTTGCTGGCAGTCTGGGTGTTCTTGAAAAAAGTTGAGCACTGCATCTCACAGATGCTTCCTTTGTGCTGAATTCTGCTCTTTCCTGGAGTTTCAAAATCTGTGGAAAATTTTACTGCAAACTATTGAGTTTGGCAGAAATAATTAAAGGCAGAATCTGACTCTGTTCAGGTTGCCTAGTCCTTGAGAGGAAAGAAAAGCATTACAGTGACTCACAGTAAAAGTATTAGTGTTTCTGTTCTCACCTTTATGAATCACATTAAAACTGATATTTTTGGTATGTTTTTTTCATGAGAGCTATAGGGATCACTGGATTGAATTCTCCTCATAATTTGGATGATCTTGAAGTCAAGGTTGAATTATTTTTCATGTATACTGATCATTTACTAATTATAGATGAAGAAATTCTACTTCACTGGGGTGGAAATTTGCTTGCATCACAATAGAGAGAGGATATTTGTTAGTTCAGGTATTGAATTTTTTTTTTTTTATCTAAACATTCCACTAGGATCTGAAGGCAGTCTAAAGTAATAGCTAATGACTGTTTTGGTGACAAATTAAATTTTGCTTTTCACATACTTGCCTCCAGACTTATTTTTGTTACTTGTGCCACATTATTTATAAGTAGCACTTTCCTCCACAATTCAGCTCAAGGATATCTGCATAATCTGCAAACAGCTAAGGAATGTCATTAATTGCATCCTTCCTGTTGACGACAAAATGTGTGTGTGAACTGGTGCCCACTGATTATTTTATTTATTTTGTAGAACTGTTCAGACCTATTGTGATATATGAAAATATTTATATTTTCCTGTTTGGGCAAAGGTTTAGAAAAACCTCAGCAATTAATCAGATTTGATGGTATTATTGGTTGTATTTGTGGAGTATTAAGATTTCACTTTGGTAGTCTTCATTCTAGTTGATTGAAGTGTGATGTACCTGTCAATAAGCTTTAAGTTTTTCATGTAGAGGAGTGGAAGGGCCTTGCTTGTGAGTCCCACAGTGAATCAGGGTTAGAATCCAGTGGTCAGTGTTTGACCATTCTGCTCTACTTTTAAATTTCCCTGCCATAAAGCAGATATCATGTATCTACTTAAAGTCTTGGCTTTGGCTATCAAGTCTCAATCTGCAGTTAGTGAATAAATTAAAGGTCATGCTTTGTTGTACAGGTAAATACATAACCTAGAGAAGATGTTTTACATTCAAAATACATTTTTTTCTCATTTGGTGATTTTTACTTTTTTTTTTTTCCAACCATAATGTAAATGATATATAGACATGAAAACTTTATTTTGGTGGAGTGAATATGGCCATTCTTAATGTTAAAATATCAGTGGTGACACTTTGTTCAAGCATGAGGAACAGAGCTAAAGCCAGACTTGATAAATTTAGCTAGCAAAATGTGAATCAAACCCTGTTAAGTACCTCCTGGCAAACCAAACCTCTGATGTGAACAGGAGCTCTATTATTTTCCCCCCTTTCTCTCTATCATAGTCCAGAATTTAAAGCTCAACCCTGCAAAGTTCTGGGTATCAGTGAATGCCATGTAGGAACTGAAATTCTGAGCACCTTGCAGGATTAGGCCTTTAATGTGGTCCAGATCTTTTGCATTGTGTGATCTGTTGTTCTTGGACTAATAGATCTTTCCCTTTCCTCTCATCCTGAAATCTAGGTTATGTTATGTTGACTACAAATCCTGGTTGTAATAATTTATTCTCTTTTAAGGCAAATAAAGCAAGCCATAAGGCATATTTCCCTCATAAGAAGATTACTGTACAGAACTTGATTCACTTATGCTGTCTTCTGTGCTGGTTTGGTCTTGTTTCTTTAAGATGAGATTTCTATCTCTGGAATATTAGTGTGTTTTACTTGCTGTAATCTGATGCACCATTTCTCTCCCCTTTTTTCTCTTCCTCTAAGATTATCGTTGGAGAAACTGCAGTCTTTTGTCTACAGTTAGCTACAAAGGATTTTGAAAACCAAGAGAAAACAATATTAACTGGAGACTGTTGTTATATAAATCCACTGGTGCGCAGGACCATCCGATTCCTTGGTATGAGCAAAATTACTGCTTTCATTTTCTGAATGGTGAGAGTTATCAATTATGTCTTAATTTTGACCTGGAGAAAATATTCAGATAACCATATTACATTTCATGTGTAGTCATAACTCAGGTGCAGTTTTACTTTTAGGCAGCAAATGAAGCTTTTTGGAAGTTTGGATTAAAAACAGTTGCAGAAACAGCAGTAAAAGTAGAAGGAGCTGGGACCACTAGGGGAGAAAAACAACCAGCAGGCCTGAAGTGGGGTGAAGTGGAGAAAGGTGATATCCTTGTGCCATATCTATAGCTGAAAGTAAACACACACACACCCAAAAGCTGAGGACATTGGGATATAAATGTGTATTTGAAGCCAAGTCAATTCAGCTGCTTTCTTAGCCTGGCTATTGTATTATAGTCTCTAGCAGAAAATTGTTCAAAATCCATGCTACATTGGTTTTAGCTGAAACTCCCCCATTGACTTGAGTGGCTATGAGATGTCATCTTTTCTATTTAGTACATTCTAAGTGTGTTTGGAGGGAGAAGTCCCACCACTCAAAATGTGTGTTGGAAATTCCAGATGCTGCCTTTTAATACATGTAGGGATGCCATAGCAGGGCTCAGTTCTGCTGTTTGGTTCTCTCTCATGGCTGCATCTGAAGGAAATAGCTGGAGGAATGAAGCCTTGGGGCAGCTAATCCTGCTGTGTGCCCCAGTCTCAGGGGGAGGGAGGGCATGTGCAGCTGTGTCTGTATTTGCAGTGTTTGTGTAACAACTGTGCCTGCCTTCCCAGAGTGCGATTCCCCCGGTAAGGAGACTCTTGTATAGGTCTGGAGGAGGTGCAGCGTGGTGATAAAGAGCTCCTCCCACTCCGGTTCCTCTCTGTGTAATCAGTGCCTGAATTTTCTTCCAACTAAGTGGTCCCTTCTTTCCTCACAGAAGCAAAAAAAATTTGGTTGGGGTGGCAGGAGTGAGCAAAGGCCTCACTGCCGTTTCAGTGCATGAGGCATTGCTCCCCATTATGCTCCCCCAGAGTGATGTGTCCAGCTGTGTTGTGCAGTGCACACCCTCAGGACTGGCTGAAAGGTCCTTCTGTGAAGTGACATGGCCAGGCACAATGTGCTGCTCACCAGAGTCTAGAATCTTGGGAGGAATTAACATTAGTGTGACATTGCTGACCAGCCAGGATCCCAGAAATCAGCCTTGGTCCTCTAGCTTTGTTAAGAAAAATCCTGACCTTTATAACTGTATGTTTCTTTGGAATTACGTCTGCTGTGATGTTGATCCTTTAAAGTCTTCATAGTGCCCCATGAAACTGGGATTTTCCAGAGCTCACCCTATATTTACAGTGAATTGGAGTATGGGAAAGGTAAGGTGATGTGCCCATAGAAATACAGGGGGAAATCTATAGCTCAAGTGGGATTGGAACAGGCATCCACTGGCTTTGCCTGCTGGTCAGGCTGCTGTGTTTGCATATTCTTCCAGAGCTCATTTGCTATGTACAAAAGGATGGAGGGGAACCTCAGAATGGCAAAAATCTGTTTTCTTTTATGTAATCAGATACATGCATTTACATTCTAATGAATGAGTACATGTGCTTAATGCTTTGCTGATATGTCTGATTAAAAAAACTCTTTAGCATAAGTAGTTCCTCAAATATATAAATCTTTAGCTCACTGTGTTGATACTGTGATTAATATGCTATGCATAGAGATTTACCCAGTAGCAGGCAGATGAAGACAACTGGTGCATGGCAATATTGAATTATTCAGTACTTTAGATTCTTTACAGCTGCAAGGGGAAAAAGAAAAAGTTTTTCCAGTGTGTGTGTTATGACTTTACAACTTACTTATCCATCAGGATCTGACCTTGGGTTTTCAAGCAGATTTATTGGGTGAAGAATTTCTCTCTGTCACTTCTGTTTAGTGAACATGGGTAAAAGTTAGGTACCAGTAAAGCCAGCTACCCCAAGCAGGGGATATGCATGGCTGTGGGGCCTAGGAAAGCAGGCTGCTTGCACAAGGGGTGAGTGTTCCTATGAAAGATGGCAGAGACATCAGGTGTGTGGGTACATTGCAGTGTTGCTGCTGCAGTTTTGTAGGAAATATCATCTCCAGCATGGGCTGTGCTCTTTAGGGTACAGTACATGAGAGGATTTTTCGTGTTCTTGAATGGAAGAAGCTGCTCTATTGTTATGATAAATACTATAAATTGTCAGGAAATTTAACTCTTTGTTTCCCTCTTTAGGAATTTATGCATTTGGACTGTTTGCTACGGACATCTTTGTAAATGCTGGACAAGTAGTAACAGGGAATCTTGCACCCCATTTTCTTGCACTTTGTAAACCCAACTATACAGCACTTGGATGTAAACAGTATACCCAATTCATCAGTAGCGTACATGCCTGCACTGGAAATCCAGACCTTATCATGAAAGCCAGAAAGACTTTCCCATCCAAAGAAGCAGCGCTAAGCATATATGCAGCTATGTATCTGGCTGTAAGTATATTATATTATTTAATAGCTATATTTTTGAGAGCAAATGCCTGGCACTCTGAGGGGGAGGAGGGAGGAATGGGCAGAAGATGAGGCCCAAAATTGGCTGATTTTCTGCATGCAAACCTTCTGTGAGTTACTGTGAGAATGATTCATTTGGCTTAATTCTGACAAGGTGTTGTGGTTTCTGAACCTTCTGAACCTTTTGCTGGGTGCTAAGGAGCAAGGGTAGGGATTTCCTCTGACTGGTGGTGGTACCTCTCTGTGTTTTAACCCAGTGCAGATCAGGAGAATCACACATGGCCATATTCTTTGATGAGGTGAAACAGAAGGGTGAGCTATATGGATGTCTGATCTCTGCATGTTTCTCAGTATCCCCGTGTGTCTTTTGGTACCAGAATTGGTGTTTATAGGTGCCTCATCAAAGTCAGTTTGGCTTTCATTAGGCAATAAAGTGGGTTACAGGACAGTCCACCCTTTTTTCCCTCTCTCCTCTCTTTTAAAGGGAGAGATGAACAGCACTGGGATAAAACTTGGTGTTGACTGCCTGGATCAGAGCTGTTGTATAGGTTGTGGAGAGGAAGAGTCACCCTTTAGTCTCACTCAAGTAACTCAGGGTAGTTTGGAGTGCATATCATTCTAGTCTTAAGCAGGAGCAAGCACATCTTGTTCCTTTGCTGGGGACAAGTTCTCCCCAGCAGATGTGTGTGGGAGTGTCTTACCTGACTTGTGCTGGTAATCACAGCCCTCTGCAGCCCTTTGGATGAGCCCAGGGCTGCCTTCACAGTGTCAGTGGAAACTAGGCAGGTGTGTGGAGCTTTGTGGTCATTGCAGGAGTCAGCCCTTGTGTCCCCTCAGTGGGCTGCCCATAGGTGTGTGTCTGTGTATGGATGCAGGTGTAGATAGACATGTGTGTGTGTGTGTGCATTGCTTTTGAGCACATACCAGTTGAGCCAACTTTTAATTCCTGACTGATGTGGAAGGTGATACTTGACAACGTGGCAAAGATCTCGGCCTCAGTGTGTCAACTTAGTGCTTCTACTCAGGGTTTTAGAGCCAATGGCTTAAAATCTGCAGCACTGATGGTAACATTTGCCAGGTTTCTTGTGAGAAATGTCTGTTTAATAGATGTTGATCATCAGTTAGCACAGGCAAGTGTTTGCAAATAAGAGATGAACAATAATATTTTATTGTTTAACTTGAGGCAAGTATAAGTCTTCTACTATTATTGTCCTTATTTGGGGAGATATCTAAGGATGAGACACTCTAAAATTGATGCAAGTTATTTTAGAAAATACTCAGAATTTTTCGTTTTAATTACTCCTATATTTCTCATCCGTCTGTAAAGTTGGATTTCTACTGTTGCCAAGAGTCAGAGTAACTAGGAAACCAGCTATTGAGCTACTGCAAAGCAGAAAGTAAAATCGTATTAATGCATACGTTCTAAAAACAAAAAGCAGACATCAGTAAGGTTAAATGCCTGATATAAGTGGTTTTTGACATGAGCAAGAATACTTTATGCAAACCTCTTCTGTGGTCAGTATACAGTTAGCAATATAAAAAAATTAAAGCTGCTGAGATCCATTTCATCACTATTTGCTCTTTCAGTAACTATAGAAATGAATATATCCTATGTCATTACTCCTGCATGGTGCTTGACACTGCTATCATTTAACTGAAGCACTATTAACTCCTCTCAGGACTTCTGAGTTCCTGTAGTAGCTTCTTTGTACAATATTGTCAGGTTCATTGTTGGGTTTTTTTTTTTGTTTTTTTTTTTTTTTTTCCTGAAATCCTAAGCATGACTGAAGCTAAAAATACTATTTATTACACTCCAAGGGGAAAAAAATTCAATGTTCCAGTATTTGGGGTCATGTCCTGACACTGCCATGATGTTTATCAGGATAGTTGGCACTAAATAACAATTTTCTCATCACTGTTCACTGGAGTAGAAGATTTAAAACAGTAGCCTAGTCTTTCTATGAGCCATGTCACACCAGTTATTGCATGTCACAGCATGGACATAAAGACCTCCATATATTACTCACTTTTTCATTAGCATATAATCTTTGGTACAATATGTGCTTTCTTTTTGGTTAACAGAAATTTTGGAGAGGGGGAGATTGTTGTGGAATCCTCCCTGGTTATTTCAGCCAGCTGGTCACAAAACAAAACCAGCTTAAAGGAAAAAAAACACACAAAGGACTGACCCAAAGGTCCCTGCTCTCCGAGGTGGTGAAGTAAATGCTTTTGGACTTGTGTGATTTCACCAATCAACCAATTTAGAAACAAAGCTTATGCTTTATCTAATAATTCTCTTATCTCATTCCATTTAAGTGCAGCCACGTCCTTATCACCTAGCATCTGTGCGTATTGTCTTATTAACAATAGCTTCTTTTTTCTAAGATCTTGAGGCTTCCATTTTCCCCCTATTCCCCCTTTTGAGAGTGGGTGGCTGCTATGGTAACTCAGAATTCCCTTGAAAGTACAGTCGTTTTCAAACAGTTGTTTTGCTAGTATTTAGAGCTTTGTAATGTTTGCCTCCATTACTTCCAGGATCTATCAAGAGAGATTGGAATGGAAATATTGAGTGGCAATGCTGTGGTTAGGTGTTTTCTCTACCCTGTTCCAAACACCGATGCATTGCCTTTCTTCTTCAAACTTTCAGGTTTTTTCTTTCCAGTGTACTAGTGTTTTCAAAATGAGCTACTGTAAATCTGTTCTGAAATCTCTAATTAATCTGGCTGGTGCCTGGTTTTTTCGTTAGGTGTCTGTGCTGATCTCATTGGAGATCTTTTGTTTGTTTGTTTTTGGTTGAGTTGGGTTAGTAAATTGACTGCATCTACTTACCAGCATTGCAATTCACCCTTTCTCAGATGGAACAATATTTGCTACATAGGCAAACATTGCAGCTTTGTTAAACAGTATATAATTGTATAAGACACATTTTGATATACATAAGCTGACATAGCCTGGACAATTAGAGGTAAGTTTTTAAGCAGCCCAGTATGCACATACTTGGGGTGTTTTCCACAATTGAGACACAGGAAGTGGAAGTCATGAGTCTTTTTTGTTAGATTTAGTCAGCCTAATCCCGTAGATTTAAATTTAAGACCTGTGACTAGCACTTATCCTTTGGTACTGCAGACCTAGGGGATTGGTCATGGCTAGCTCTAGTTCAAGGGAAATTTTAATTCTCTGAAGTTTTGCCCTTTTTTTGTTGTTCTTAATGCATTGCACAGCAGCAGTTGGGTAGGGTAGTGATTGAACTTTGTGTTACTGCACACATTTCAGGCTTGCTTTGGGTTTGTAATGATAGAGGAACAGGCTTCATGTCTTGATAGTTGACACAGCCTTTAAGTCTGTAGGCAGCTTTTGTTGCTTTGTACTCTGAACCCTTGGCCTCAACTATGACTTCAGACAGAACTAGCAGATTGTAAAGCCTGCAAATAATTGTTTCCTCTCTGCAGAGCTTTTGTTTGGCCCATGATCATGTTTTCTGCAAGGCTCTTGCTCCTGGCATTTTGCTGCATTGATTTTGCTGTTCAGTGTGTTTATAAGTCACTGGGAAAAGACAAGACAGTCTGGGTAACAGTGCTGGCAGCATGGTGACATTCTCCTCAGTGTCACTCCTTGATCCACTTATAGGTATAGGTGCAGTCTCACCTGTCCTTTGTCCTAAAGTGCCTGTTTAGATTCCAGCTACATGGGCAGCTGGTGAAGGTATGATAGGCTTCTCAGACAGAGTTAAAGGAGTGTTCAGGAGGAAAAGGACTAGCAGAGCCACCTCACTGAATTGACTTTGTTGTCCGTTTTTTGTTAGGAAATTAAAGGATTCTTCTGGCTGCCTTTCAGGAATAGTGCTAGGAATGTGGAATTTCTTTCAGTATCTGGTGCAACAAGTATCCCTCAATACTGATAATAAAACGTATGTCATGAGCGTCACAAATTGAGTGCATTGGTTTGGTTCAGACCAAATAATAAAATAATATGACTATTTGAGCCAGGAATTTATCTAAATACCTCTATAAATTTCATGTCAGTCAGCTCTTCATTACAATTCAGATCCTCAAGGAAACAGCCTTTGTAATAGGTGTCTTATGGTCTTGGTATAGAGAAAGATACCTCTTACCTTCCCCAGTGGTTTTACAGTTACAGCTGTGGGGAGCTTATAGTAGGAAAATTAATAGTAAAGTCCAGAATTCTAGAGCTTTCTTTTCCTTTTGCCAAGCCAGCCCCTGACTTTGAAAGCTAATTTTGGTCTAACATCATAAATAATTAGATTAAAACATATAGAGAAAGCTGGAGGAGGCTTCAGAAACACTAAAAGAAACCTTCAGTGGACAGTTGTAGAAGGACCCAGATGATTTGAGAATATGACTTGGTTTGCTCTAGAAATAGTTTGACCCATTAATTATTACCAAAGGAAGCTTAAAAGAGTTTGGATTTTCAAACTGAATTCTAATTAAACACTGAACCTGTTTATAGGCTACAACAGCCCACTATTTTTTCAGCTTTTTGATATGAGTATCTCTATTCTTGTAGGTCTGATGAATATTGAAAACTCCTTGGGTGGAACATTCATAATATTACTTACATTACTTAAATAGTTCAAGATAATTTCTTTAATGCTAGCCCATTGTAAAACTAAATGAAAACATGAGATAATTTATGTTTGAAGTGCTGCCTGGGATGAGTGCCTGTACAATGATTTCTTCCTCATTCTTCTTGTTGTCTTATGAGTCATTATTCACTGCCCACTGATGGACAGGTCTTTGTCAGTCTCCCAGGCCATCTAAATCAGGGAGAAATGAAATAGCAGATGCAGAAGGGATCTTCTTACCTGCGTCCCTGGGCCCCAGGCTAATGAAATCAGCAAGGAAAATTATCTTCCCTCCTGGCTGGAGCACCCAGCCTGATGTGTAGCTCCCATGTAGCTAAAATGGGATTCTGAGACCTGTTACACCTGTGTTTGTGTGCATAGATATTGGTGTGGGTGGGCCTAAAGATAGCTGAAAGATGCCTAGAAAGAGCTTGCAGCATAGCCCAGGAATCCACTTTGTCCTGCACTTTACATACAGCTCTTGTTCTTTTCTTAACGTGTTTTGGAATTATTTGTACTAGATTTAGGACAAACTTCACATGAGACTTGCAACCTGACATTTTTGTAGTACTTTGGCAGTACAAGCCTATGCCAAGGCTATGGTTGTTCCTTACACTATGGTGTGAGCCAGTCACACCAGAAACTTCACAGGGAGCTTGCTTTGTCTTTGGTGGTGATGGTGATAATTTCTTTCAAATTCATATTTTCATACCTGCTTCAATTAAAGGTTTTCTGTCAATATATGAGGTTCTCTTACAGCTTCACTTCCAGTATCTTGAAGACTGAAGGTCAAATGTTTGTGGTTTTCTGAAAGTATAGTAAATATGGTTATATTGTGCAATCAGGTTACAATCCACCTCCTTACGTGACTCTCTGCCTGTGTCTGCTTACTGGTGACAGCTCTCTGTCTTTTAATACTAAAATCTTATTTCAGGAGAAAGGAACAGTGACAGCAGAAGTTCTTCAAGAGAAGATTCAGTACGATTCTGATGTTGCGGGAGAATGTGCAGCCTGCAATATTGATTCTAACTACTGTATCAGTCCTTGACCTTACATACAAAATCTCTGCTGTTGGTCTTGCTGTTGACTAATGTAAAAGTTTTCTTTCATTGGAAAACTCCTCTCCCAATTTTTGTTCTTAAAAAGAATAGGGATGAAGTTGTTCAGTAAACATCTTTAGCCCTGTAAAAAGTTATACTGTCATTCATCCCTACTAATGATTTAAATCACTGAGGTATTTTCCTTTGTTGATACTGCATTTAATATTTATTAAAAGTGAGTGAAATATCCTGTCATCTTTTCAGGTTGTTTATTCTTAGTCAATTACTGAGTGTGCTGGTTTATAGTTTTTCCACCAGAATCAAGAAGAAAACAGCTGCTTAATTATGCTTTATTCTTAGTGTAGATCAGGTAGTTGACTGTTAATATATTATGCTGGAGCTGCAAGAGGCCAAGTTTAAAAATGGGTATCTATGAATCCTGCCTTGGAGGAGGCTATGTTTGCTATATAGAGTTTTGCAAATACAGACTTTTTGTCACAGTGTTTCAGGAAAGTTTGGCCTGTTTTTATTGATTCTGTTGTACTGTAATATAATGCTATTCCTTGCATGAGTAGTACTTGTTCTTTAAAGAAAAGATAGATATGGTACCTGTGCTGGCAGAATCCTCCGGTTATTTTGAATAAGGAGCTGGGCATGACAACCATGACTGCTCATTTAAGGAGGGGAGTTGGCAAATGGAGGTCTCTGCTCGTGTGGGGCACAGCATGAATCTGTGGTTGTTTTTCCTCAGTGCTTTGAGTAGGGATTTGAAGGACATGCTCGGTTGTAAAAATATTCTGAGAATTTTATGCAAAACATTTTTTGGGTTCAGCTTTGTATTAAAAATGTTGAAATTTGATTGAAGTGCTGCAGAATCAAGTATTTGTACTATAATGTGTTTTGTCTTATTAAAATTGAGATAATCTTCTTGGGCAATGACAAGTTGTTATAGATAAATGAAACATGTCACCATGACCTGCCTTAAGCAAATGTTTCCTTCTCAGTAGTCATTTCAATTTAATATAACACAATACAGAATTAAATGCAGGATAGCTTCCTGCTAACTCCCCCTGTGTCAACTTCACCCAAGCTGTATTTGAAATTTGATTTTCTTATTGTGTATTAAAAATATTCCAGTGTTTTTCCTAGCACCAGCTGTCCTAACATATAGTGTGAATGTGGATAATGGTGGTAGTATCCAGTAGAACAACAAGACTCCCTAAACCAGATGGATGCTGTATTAATTCAGTGTGTAGTACTCGGTCTATAGCTTGGAGAAAACCGGTGGGGCTAAAAAGCTGGATGTTAAAGTTGCATTTCTCTCTTATTACCTTTCTGCATGATAAGAGCAGCTCACTGAAGACAGCCTGCAAGAGTACAATGAGCTAAGACTCATTTGAAGACTTAGGGTTTCAGTACTTTAATTACAGAAACATCTTCTGCAGAGTAGAAACTTTTTCTGTCAAAAATCTTATTAGCTGAAGTATAATTTTTTTTGAAGGTGGGAAGGAGGGGTGTTGCAAGCGGTCTTAATGCCAAGATAAGAGAATGGAAAGTCTAATATTTGGTATTCATTTCTTCCATTGGCTCATCAGAGCTTGGGAAGTGCTGGGTTAAACCTGGTAATCTCTAATGCACTTCTAGGGTAGAAGAGCTGCTCTATTATCAGGCACTGCTTTTAATTCAGTAGTATTGCACAGAGAGAATTAGACTGCAGCAGGACAAATGGATTTCTCAGTCTGATGCATAAAACCTGCAGCATTTAGATTGGTTTGTGTGAAGCACGGGGTTGTATTAGTTCAGCACTGGTTGAAATTATTATTATAATCACTGGTTGAAACTGTATTTATGAAAGGAGATGCTGGCATTTAGTTCAGTTTTCACTGCTCTTTGACACGATTTTTTTCCTTTTCACTGGTTTTTGACAAATCACTAATTAGTCATGTAAAGAAGCTATGTATAAGGAAGAAAGGCTTTTGCTAATAAAAACAAGGTCTTTATGTGTTCTCTTTCTTACTCTGCCTGGCAGCTTGTAATAGTACTAGTAGTACTTCAGGGTAAATATTTTTTCTGTTACTGTCAACACAGCCCAGTGAAGAATCAGTTTCTTTACTTCTATGCATTAATAAATAAATTCACAGACTGAGAGTAATCTGATAGGATTGTCCAATTTGCCTGGTTTTCTGTAGGCTTTTCAGGTTCATGTAAAATGCAATTTTGCTGTATGGTCTGATTCTTTTTCTTTATCCATAGAAAAAGGGTATGATGACTTTTATCTACTACTCTACCTCCTAGTTTCTTTACACCCTCCCCACTCCAGAAAAAAAGCACTAAATACACATAGTCTATTCAAATAAAATATAGAGATTTTATTCACCAATTAGTGGGAGACATCCATTAGTCTTACACTTTCTTCCTTTCTAATTTTCAGATGTATATCACCAACACAGTGAAAGCCAGAGGAACAAGGCTTGCAAAACCTGTTCTGTGTTTGGGTTTAATGTGCTTGGCCTTCCTCACTGGAATCAACAGAGTAGCAGAGTATCGAAATCACTGGTCAGATGTAATAGCAGGATTTGTAATTGGAATATCTATAGCAGTATTTTTGGTAAGTGTGTGTCTGTGTCACTTCTGTTTGAAAAAAATTAATGCATAAGTTTTTATCTCTTTTAAAAAAGCCTTCAGATAACTAAATAACAAAAGACATGTTTCTTAGGTTTTTTTAAGTAGTCACCAGTTTCCTTTGTAGTATTTACATACACTCAGAAATGGGAAGTCAAAAAAAAGGACTGATCCAGTTATCTTTTTTTACTTCCATATAAAACAGATTGTAGCATTTGAAACAGTAATTTATGCAGCAAGGCCCACATGCAGGAAGTATATATTCCTCAGAATATCACACAGTTATGATTTCATGGATAAAGTATTAAATTCGATGTAGTGGTACCCACGCTGATCAGAGAAGAGGTTGCATTTGTTTTTCTGGCTTTACAATAAGTCTAATGAATTTATTTCATAATTTATTTCATAGTGATTGAGGTTTATGTTGAAATTTCATATTTTTCTGTATCAAAAAATCTTTGTTTAGCCTTTTCCTCTTCTGGAGCTGTGTTCCAAAACCAGACAGTTAATTACAGTTGCCCATGACTACTGTCTGTGTCAGAAAACTATTTCTAATCTGTTAATCACCTTCACTAATATCTGCAGTGCAAGACTATAGAATAGACCAATCACTGCTGTTTAATGCCTGTAGGTTTGTCTGCCTGGCAGCTTGCAATAGTACTAAATACATCTTAGATATTTTTCCCCATGGAAACACTTTTGAGCTTGACTCTTGGATCACAGGATCTTGGTCTCAAGATCTTGGATCTGAAAGCATGGCTTGGCTGAGAACCCCATGGCTGGGGTGGGTGTTTTCACTCCTCTAGACATGCAAGGGTAGCTGCAAGTCTCCTTTAAAATGCATCTGCTTGCATTTCCAAATGTTCCCTTCCACACAAGGTGTCCAGCAGCGTGACATCAAATTTAGATGTGTTTTGAAGAAAATGTGGTTGGCAAACATTACTGCTCAGCTGAGTGTTGTAATTAGTAGAAGCACAAACTGTTACACATCACATTACAAAGTCCCTGTGTGAGAATCTGCTGCCCAGAGCAGATTTGAAGTTACATTCAGACTTGGCCATGGTCCTTGCCTTCTTGTTTCCTTTTGTTACTCTTCATTTGAGAAAGTCTTTGGTGATCATGACTGAAATGGCACTGGCCTTCCCAGGAGTTACAGGTTAATGCCATGTGATGCTGCAAGACGTCTCTTAGTGAGATTGGTAATAATTGGTGTTCTATTGTGCAGCTTCAGTAATGGATTTTCTTTTAGATAAGAGGTTTTTTTGGTTCTCAAATGATGCATGTACCAATAAATCACTTGAAAGTCATTTGTCTTGAAATATTAATTAAGGATTTTCTGTAAAACATGAATTTCACATTTCAGTGATTCTACTGTAAAGCTGTGACTAAAGCTGGTGTCATTTCTGCCTAATGATAATTGTCAGGATCAAAGCTTGAAAAAATGAGTTGTTCCTTAGGTATTCTGTTTATCTTCAAATCCCTTCTAGGTTGTTTGTGTGGTAAATAACTTCAGAGGACGTCAGCCAGAACATGAACATTCTCATCTGGATAATCTGACCCAGATGCCCATGATCAGCATACCCAGAGTAGAAAGCCCTCTAGAAAAGGTAATGTCTGACTTTTTAAAAATCAGTTAAATAAAATGTAGCTTTCCTGGAAATCACAAACTAGCCTGACAAGAGTGCCAAGGTAATCAGATTTAAAATAAAGAAACATGTCAGTGAAAGAGAAAGAAGGAAGGAATTAAATTCAGTGACACCCCTTGGGAGACTCTTCATGTCGTCATTTCACTGACATAGCTGCTGCTAAGCCCTTGAAGTCAGGCTGAGTAGATCTGAGACCCTCTCCCCTTGTGTTCCTCAAGTAAACGTGCTTAATACTCTGCCTGATACTCCACAGAACAAATAAAGTTCTTAGAATGCTTAGAAAGAAAGTCTAACCCCTGGCCCAAGGGGCTTTGCAATACAAGTGGCATTTATCCTGTTTGTTTGTGGTATGTCCTCAGCCTGGTGCAGAGTGTGGGATGCAGTCCCTTGTGGGTCACCTGTGGGGCTTCTGTCATCAGACACATGGTAGCCCAGGACAGGGTGCCCACTTGGAAGTGAAAGTAGCAATGGGCCATGCCATGACTGCACGAAGCCCATGATCTCTTATCAGAGCACGTGGGATTTTAGACTAGAACATGCTAGTGAGAGTCTCCTGGGTATGCCAAGAGTTTTGCTTAAAAATTTATTTTACTTTAGTGTTATAACCATTTATATTTTTGAAGATGGTATTGTACTATGTGTTAGGTAAGATTGTCTAATTTTATGAGCAAAAAACTATTGAAATAGATAGCATAACCAAATGCAGAAAATACTTCAGACATTTTTACCAAGGGGAAACTTTGAAGTAGTAATGCGAATTTTAAAGGAAGGTTGCTTTTTCTAATGACTGTGTCTGTCACAATTTATTAAACTCTATTACATTGTGCTCATATTTGAAGACAGCAAACAATTCTACACTGGGTAGGGCACCAAAAGTATTTTTCTGTGATATTATTTTAATTCCACATTAATTCTGATTTTTTTTTCATGTTCAACACAAGAAAGGTTTCCCAATCTGGCTTAGTCACTTGAATGTAGTGGAAGTTGTTCTTTAGGAAGAATTACTGCTAGTCCTGGGTTTTTTATTCCTTTCCTTAAAGGGAAAGAAGATTTCTTTTCAGAATGGTCTGACATGCCTTTTTTGAACCAAATATGTCTAAACTACTTCCGCTGATATCTTGTCGTAAGGAGGTCAGAGTCTCATTTGCTTGAACAAGGGTTTAGATGATGAATGTGTATCTTCAAAATAATCCATTCAGTAAGCTTTCTGTAAAATGTCAAAACAAAACAAGCTGTCAGCTGGCCTGGAACCACATTAATAAGAACATGTTTTATTTACATGCTAGGCTCTCATGCAATAGAAGCCATTTCTGTGGCTCAAAAGCCATCACAGGTAATAGGTGTACATTCTTGGATGTTGAATTTTTTTTTTTTCCTGGCAATAAAGACTTCTTGTTAACTTCATGTTTCTGCCTGGTTTGAGAACCTCTCACTCATGATCAACAATGTTCTTTTCCTGAGATTTGGCCTAGTTTAAGATGCTGTGGGGAAAGCAATGGGAGAATGTGGGAGGATGGTGGCAGGATAATGTTTGCTCTGCTTGAAGATAACCACTGCCTGACCGCAAAGTTATACCATTTGCTGAGATCCCATCTTTGTCTGTGTTGCAAAGCTTTTCTCTTTTTCAGACAGAGGATGGGATGCAAGGACAATAAGGTGAAGACTTTGCTAATTGTTTGGAAATGCTTTCTTCTGTTTCCACTTGCAGAAAGTTTAAAATTGAATTAGAAAATAATTGATAAAGAAGTTACTTATATGTGAGTGCTTTAGGTTTTGAGTGTATATGGGTAATTTAAACTTTATTTAATGTAATTTTTTTGTTTAATCTAAAGTTTTAGATAGAAGAAAGACCCTGTTAAATAAAAGTAACAACTTTTAGTTGGCAGTAACAACTTCAAGGAACTAAGGTCTAAATTAAGTTAGGTATTCTCAATTGACTACCATTGCTACAAGAATTCTTGAATTAGTCTTTGCTTTTTAACTCCCTTATTTTACATCATTTGTTCTCTCCCGGAGAGAGAGAGTGATGCTAAATAATTTGTGTGCTATTTGCCTCTTCCTCCTTTAGACACTTGAGTTACTTTTCACTACATTTCAGTTAGGACTGTTCCACTTCAATATTCTGAATGCACATAGATTTACATTTTACTTATTTTAAAACTTTTTTTCTTATTTTCAATCTACAAGCTCCTGTACCAATATTAAAGACAGGATCTGTCAGAAATTAGCTACTGGGAGTAGCACAAATCCTAACTGCCTGAAGTTATCAGAGGCTAAGGCAGTGCAAGCTGGAAGCAACTCAGCTATGTGACTGGTACTAAAAAACCAGTAACTATATAGGTGTCTGGGAGCAAGCAATTAAAAACTCCTGCCTTAAGGAATGACTTCATTAGAAATGCCTGCCAGATAGGACTCCACTCACTGCTATTTTGTAATAAATTCACCTGTAAATGAGTAAGCACATGATGCATCATACAGACCTGGAAGCATATTTCTCTGCTGGGTCCAGGTCTGCTATTGGCTATTCCGGTGCTTTCTCCATGGAGAGGAAATGCTCCTGGCACGCTCACTGTGCTGCTACTGTCTGAGTTCTGGTGGAGGTCTAGCTGTGTTTGAAGTGCACTTAAATAGGCATAGGTTCTTGTGATACTCCAAATTGAGCTGCTGCTGCTTAGTGACAAGGTTAGATCACTGTTGCATGACACTTCTGTTTCATTGTGGTGCATGCAGATGATTTAGCTGTTCTGCACGGGTGCCCATGCAGTCAAGTGAGCTGTAGTTGCCGTGTCTTCTTGAGTGATCCTTGCCAGAACCTGCTCAGCAGTGCAGACTTAGTGCTTTTACCTTAACTATAATAATCCTCAGAAGTAATGAAAAGAATGAAAGCCAAGAAACCTCATCACTCACCCATCTGCTTCTTTTTCTCTTCTTTCTCTGATCTTCTTCATCCCTTACAAGACAGTTGGTGTTTCAGTTCGCTGGCAGCCTCCTAGCGAGAGGAAGCTCTCATCCTACCACAGCAAGATTAGAGAGTTCTGTTCTTTTTCAGGAATTACTGATAAATGGGGATATTCTGGGTAGTACCTGTAAGAGTTTGGAGGTTCAGCTTTATCCAAGTGCAGTCACAAATTATGTTTCCTGTTTCAGGGAAGACTGACATTTTTTTCATGCAAAAGTTGCCTGAAATTGGCCAGGGCTTATAGAGATCTCCTACCCATCATGTAGTAGATTATGATTCTGCTAGTCTTATTTATTTTAAATAAGTATTCTAGCTTTGAAAAAACCAAATACAAATACAACATGGAGCATTTCAGGACTAATGGAGGGAGTAGATAGAATACTGAGATAGAAAGTTTCAGAAGGAAGGGTTGGGTTAGGAGATGCACCATGGTTCAAAGTTTCAGAAGGAAGGGTTGGGTTAGGAGATGCACCATGGTTCATCTCCTGTGAGATGAGATAATTACTGTGTGTGATTATCAGTGCTTTCTGTAGCTATTCACTATGCACAGTGGGTTCTTGGCAGTGCTCAGTTTGACAGCTAAACTGCATTTATTACCCAAGGTTCTGCTTGGCATTCCTTCATACTGGTACTTCTGTCAGCAGTGCCCAAACCTTCCCAAACACAGGTGCTGTTTCTTCTTACAGTGAAGTTTCTTATACTGCCCAGTAGGACTGACTATCCAGCATGACTGAACTCAAAAGAGATAGATTACATGCTCTCTCCTTCTGTCATTTCCAAGTTTTAATGGTCATAAGGATTTGGAATTCCTCTTGCAATATGTGACATTCTTGTTGCCCATCATATTGGTTTTTAGTGACTCAGAGTTAACTGTCTCAGAAATCTTCTTGACTTTGACACACTAATTATTGTTCCATTGTGTCTGTGCCAAAGGTAACGATAGTGATAAAACATTCTAGCAATAGTAAGTGTAGATATTGCAATGAATTCTGCTAGTGTTTTTAAGACTGGGAAAGATTTCCTCTTCAGAATTGAAGGAGTATTGTTTTTTCTATTTACTCCATCTTGATTATTCACGAGACACAGAACAGCTTCTTCACAATGTCAGAAAATTTTAATTCTCTGTGTTACTGTTTTTTTCTTGGTCTTACACATGTTGGTACTGAGTGTTCAATTGTTATGTGCCCTCATGTACACACAGCACCATGGCCTAGGGAGCCTGGCCTGCTCCCTGCAGCTCTCCAGGGAGATCACCTCTCACTGAGCTCACAGCTAAAAGCAGAACACAAAGACGCTTTACCTCTAAATACTATGGGCAGATGTGGGAGAGGGTTGTGTCCATTTCTGTTGCTTTGAAATGTTTTAGTTGAGAGGTCTCCAAATACTGTAGTGCTTGATATCCGAAAGCCTCCATAGTGTCCATACTTGTTTCTGCAGGATGGTTTGATGAGAGCCCATGTGCTTATACCAGCTTATAGGTAGTTTTTGGCATAATCATTCTCTCCTGATAATACAGTCTGTTAAAGTAGATGTAATCACACACACACCACAAACACATACCCAGGACAGTCAGCTCATACAAAATCATGAGCAGTTTTGTTTCAATGTCAAACATTTGAATTTGTATTCATGTCCTACTCTTCTGCTGAAATCTGCTTCTGGGAGATTGTACAAGAATTATTTCTGATTGAATGCAAACGGTGATCACTACATCTAATGCTCAGATAAACTTAATACTTAAAACATGGGAAGTGGAGCAATATATTCTGTGTGACCTCCTCAAACGTGCATGTTGTAGGTGTTACAGAATCGAGGCATTAGTCACAGTCAAGAAGGCGCTTTGCAAGGAGCCTCCCTCAAAGCACGCGTCCTTAGGCTCTTCCCGTGGCTGCGGGGGCCGGAGCCCCGCGGGCCCCTTGCTCTAAGGCAGTAACTCACGTATGTGCACGGCCGGGCACCGGCACTGCCCGCTGCCTTCTGTGCAGGCCACCTCCACCTCAGGCCACCCTGCTGCTCCGAGCTCTCCAGCAAAAGCACAAAATGCACTCTGCCGACTCAGAGACTTGTATGATAACATTATTATTATTGTTTGATCAATTATCATTTGCCTGAGGTGCTACAGTAGTATTTTTCTATTTAACGAACTCTATCTACTGTGGGAAAAATTACAAATTTATTACCAAGTCCTGTTTTCAAACAGGGAAGAATCATCTTTTTAGGATGGTGACTGTTTTTGAATTTTCTAACTGTATTGGTAAGAACAAAGCAAAAAAACCCTAAAAATATTTAATATAGATAATTAAAACTGCAAATCACAGAAAATTTAATGTATTTTTAAAATGCTTTGACATTATAGCATTGCTTATCAATAGAAATTAATTAAAACTTAGCAGAAGATATACAGTTCTGGATCATTTTCCCCAGAAACCTGCACTCAAGGCTTAGCCCTTGGCTTTACCTTTTTTGTTGGTGTGAGAGCACTGTTATGATGCATGCTTTGCTCACCAGCCTGGTACTGTCCTCTTAGAATGGATGGCACAAACGCTGGTCTGCCTGTCTGTGAGACTGCTGCCATTGAGCAGACCCTCAGCATTTCTGATTCTTTGGAGAACTTTAGGGAAAAAACTTTCCATGGAGTTGGAGAAGCTGAGGTCTTATGCATGATTTTTTGCTTGTCTTCCTGCATCTGTGTGAATCTGTTTGTTGACAGTGGTTATTGTAGTTAGTATCTCACTCTGGCCCTTGTCACAGCAAATCTAAGCAGAATGAAAAGAGTTGCAATGTAGTTATTCCAGAGGGGATGCTGTTTGTTTGGGTTTTTTTTCTGCAGGATGTCAGCAAGGCTGATTTGTAGTTTTGCCTGAGACGGTAGCATGAAAAAGCATGAGTAACCAGACAGCTGCATGAATCTGTATCAGTGATTCTTGCCATCAGCAAGGGATTAATTTTGACCTAGTTATGCATCGCCCTGCTGAGTCCATTGGAAATGAATGGACAGGCCTTCAGTAGGGTCCAAATCAATAGGTCCCTGATCAGCAGCTTACCAGTTCTCTTTGAGGGCTTTTTGAGGAAGGAGGATTTTCTTCTGTGTTGTTATATCCCATGCCCTGTGTGTCTTCCCAGGATAGTGACCTGCTCATTTTGGAAGTATAGCTGGCAGGAGTGTGAACCACATTTTTCTTTCCCTGAATAATCGTTATCCACTCTTGAATTAATGCCACATGAAAGAGCATTTGGTTCTCTGCATCACAGAAAAATGTGTGTCGCTTAGAGACAGGGATGGCACATAGCAGGACTTGAGAGAATTGATTGAAATAAAGAACAATTTTTTTCCCTCCAATGTTATGAAAAAAGTGAATAATTTTAGACTAAGGATACTTCAAGTTGACAGGAGGACTTTTGAGGTCTAAATAAAGAAAATAAAGTAAATATTATGAAGAAAATGTCATCAGAGCCTCACAGCAACTCAAGAGTCACTGAGTTTGCCCACACTATCGTATACTCAAAACAGAATGGAGTTGATTTTTTTTTTTTAAATTTAGGAAGTCTAATTTTGCATTTCTTCTGCAGAACAAAAATCTGCAAGCAATAATATTTGTTACTATTTTTTACTGAAAATGTTTTCATGGAGCATTGCACTTTTTTTTTTTTCTAATGCTTTGTAAAAAAATTTGGCCATGGTTTAATAATTGTTGCTTATTTAAAAGATAGAAATTCTGTTTTGGGGAAGAATATACATAGATGCTTGCTGTTAAGTGTTAAGTAGTTTTCTTGTATGAAAGCTGTCATAAAATACAGCAACAACATTGCTGGAGCTAAAATGCATATTGCAGGGGAAGTGGAAGAGAGCTTCTCCCCCTGGACACAGAACAGTTAAGGCATAGTGAGCGAGGGAGCAAAGCTGCCAGCTTGGCTTGGAGATGGGGCATAAGGGGCAGCTCTAAAAACAAAGTATTTCTAATTTCCACTCTCTAATGTGAAAAAGCAAAGATACCTGCCTATATCCCCTTGCTCAGACTGATAGACAAATATTCAGGCAGATTAAAGAAGAACTGAGAAATATAAACTTATATGGTGGACATTGTTTCTCTCCAGCACTTTTTATGCTGTGTGATAAAAGATTTTCTGAAAGACTTCCCTTAAGCAAAAAAATGGGAGGTCCTGCTCTCCCCAGGTTATCCATGTTCCCTTCCTCTTCAGCTCACATCTCCTCTCTTCTGAGTTTAATCTGCCCCAGGAGGCAAAGTGATGAAAAAAAAATTTGCAGTGCTTTGCTTGGTGTTTTACCCTCTGTGCATTTTTGTGCTTGGGAACAAACACATGGCTTAACATCAAGGTTCCCTTTACGGATTTCACCACTGGATGTTTTGTGAAAAATGGTGGCAGTCAAGGGTACAGTGTGCCCACAGGGAAATACACTTCCTCTGGGTCCTGCACATCACTCTGTGTTTGCTTTCCCCTTCAGATATTTGCAGAATCACCTGCTTAGGTTTGAGTATGAAGAAGTAGCCAAGCTCTTTGGGATGCTGCAGGGTTTTAGAGTTGCACATAGAATGTTCGTGTTCCAATACACATCTCAGTGTTCCTAAGAATTGTCCCACTGAAGGAAAGAAGAAAATGTTCTTAGATTGCAACTGGACACTGGTCATTCTGAAAAATAAATTTTGAATAGGAGTTCTTAACTGCCAAATGCCACTTGATTTCAAGCATTTTGCTACTTGATTCAGTGCTCATGGGGAGAAAATAATCTTTAAAAAATTAATATTAGAATGGTATTTACACTGAAGTAGAGTACTATAATCTGTCAGAAACTGTCATTTTAATTTCTAGGAATTTTGTTTTCAATTATGAATAACGTAGCAATAAAAGTACAGCTAACTCAATTTTTCACATGTAATTTAAAACAAACAAAAGCCATCTTAAAATATAATAGAACCATCACATACAATTGCTTTGTTCAGCATACTTCCCTATCGAGTCTTTCAGCAGTTAAGAATTGCTATGGGAGTGAGCGAGTGCACTGCAGTGAAAACCAGTTTCATTTACATCATCCTTCAGTAGTCTCCAAGTACAAGGCTGCCCTTCCAACACAGGAGGCAAAAGTTTTCACAATGGTGACTGCTGTCTGTGTGGTTTTGTGATTTTTATCTGTTTGTTTTTCCTTTAACTCGTAGAACCACATCACGGCCTTTGCAGAAGTCACATGATGTTGATGCTGATGTGTATTCACTCCACTGGACTTCATCTCTTTTCACAGCCCACACATGATATTTGCAGAGTATCAAAAATAAGAAATTTTTAGAAGTCCTCTTTCTGACTTGATTTTTACATCACTAAAATGATACCAACATTTTGAAGAATTCTTAAATATTAGAACGTCACTTTACTTTCTAGCAAAAATATTAACTGTTTACTTTTATGATGGAATGGGACAAACTGAGCACTAATTATCTGACATTACCCTCTATTTTGGCTTCTCATTGTTTTCAATGGTTCATGTACCTATTCCAACAGTACTTTGTATTTTGATTTAACTTTGATTTTTAAAATCTACATTTTTAATTCCGCATGAACTTGTTTCCATTTGAGGCAATTTCAATGTATAAAAACTAGACAAATATTATGTTCTGTATGAAAATGCTGTTTGCACATTGTATTACGCTGTATTCCATGTAAGATATCATTCAAACGGTATGTTATATGTAAGACTGGTGCTTCTGCTTTTGAAGAGAAAAAAATGCCAATTTTTACTGTAATAAGTATTGTATCATAATTAAAAGTTTATTTATTTGGATATTTTCCTGACATAATTGTAGTTGAATTGTTGTTTTGTAGTTCTTGAATGTCTTGGATGACTTATATGTATCTAGGTTAAAAGAAGTGAGAATAATTTAGCGAGTTTGATCTTTGATATATTCTTTATTACTAATGATATCCCAGGAAAGGTTAAGGGCTCCATTCTTAGCTTAGCATATCTGATGGGAAGCCGTGCTATTCATAAATCATTTAAACAAATTACTCAAGGCAGCCTGCATCTTCTCATGATTGTTGTACTCCCTGATACTGTGCTGGGAGAATGGGTGCTAAGATAAGAAGAGGGTCACCAGCTTAGTGAGAAAAGTTCATCTGAGTTTCTACTCTCCATTTTCATGGAAAACTCATGGAAAAACCAAAATGTCTCAATTAATTTTTTTTTTTCAGCCTAACTGACCAGGACAGGCAGACTTTCTCTCTACAAATCCTTGTATGTCTGTGTTGGAGGCTCATATTCTTAAAAAAAAAAAAAAAGAAAGAAAAAAAGAAAGAAAGAAAAAAAAAATCCTCTGCCAGCCTGCATGGTGTTGACAGATTGATTTTTCTTCAACATCAGCCAATGTTACCATATCTCTGTTATTGCTGTGAATATTCAGCTTAAGCCCCCGCTTTGGAAGAGTCTTGCTTATCATTCGTAGTGAAATTGTCCTATAAAAATTGAGCACCAAATGGATCTGAATATTCTGAAGACATTGTTAACATGTGCCAGGCAGTGTCCCTCTGGCAAGAGCAGATAAAATGCAGCACTAGAGAAACATTGAGAACACTCTTGGTCAGTGCAGGCTGTTGAGCATTTTAGGCCTTAAATTTTCCAGAGTTCATTGTATTTCCTGTGCATTAATCATTGTTAGAGTATGTTTGAAACACAATGATGTAGAATCAGGTGTATTTTTTCTATGATGAATTTTAATGTATTCTCATATAGTCATCAGGTAATGCCTGCTTTTACTTTGTTTTAACCTCTGCTTTCACTAAGATACAACTACCTAAAGAGTGCTTGGCAAACACGGCAAGGCCAAGTCATCTCTGAGTGCAATAGAACATATGCCACAAAGTCATTGTGCTAAGCTGAGAATTAAGAGATTGAAGAAATATATATGTGGGGAGAAAAGACCTAGAATAGAGTCCTTAGCTACAGCTAGGTTACTTAGGTGATTGAAAATCCACCTTTATTAGACTATCAACTGTGTTTACAAAATTGTAGTAGATCCAAAGTTTGTATCACCGTGTTAAACTCACTTACCCTGCCCTTAGTCTAGGTAGTTAGGTTCCAAGGTACTAATGATTTCTGTGTGTGCAGATTTAAATGAAATGTTCACTCATTTTTGCATGGTAGCAAATCTGCGTTTTTTATATCTGATTTATAAGATTACCAAGAGATTCTTTTATGTTAAAAGAGATGACTCTTTTTCAGTGTACTGTATATCATCAGCTTGTAACTGGTCTCTTTCTCAGGATCTTTCCCAGTCAAATATTTGGGTTAAAATTATCATACTATCTCTGTGAACCAGCAGTGAGAAAACAAAAAGAGAGACACTCTGCTGTATAATGTATTTTTAAATAAAATAATTTTTCATTCATATGTAGTGTATTTTTTTAGGTGTCTGCTTTACATATATTTTGATTGATGGTGTGCATGTAATGAAATTGTGATTTTATGTGAATTGCATTTGGTGACATATTCTCACAATTAACCAGGAATTCCCACAGTTAAGGGCCTACCCTTAGAAGTAGTTCTGGTGAACTTGAAAAGCATTGAGGAAGAGCTGTGCTGCAGAGTCCACAGCCTGTTGGGAAAGGACTCTCCCCAGAATGTGGACCAGCCAAGCTCCAGACATTGCTTTGACTGCTTTTCAGAAGTGGCAAGAATTTGTCCTCCCACATCTGTAACTCTCCACTGCCCTGAAGTTTGGTCATCAGCTCTTCCATTCTGGACCCAAAAAAGCTTTGAGTAGGAAGGGTTTGCTGAAACAAAAGTAAGTTGGCACTTTTGTACTAAAATGGCTTTTTGGGATTGCTTAAAAAAAAAAACAAACCCAGTGATGAGGTAGGAAGGGTTTGCTGAAACAAAAGTAAGTTGGCACTTTTGTACTACAATGGCTTTTTGGTGATTGCTTTAAAAAAAACAACCCAGTGATGAACAAGCATCATTCCTCATTCAGGGAATATTCTGGTACAGAGTGGTTCCTACTGAAAACAGTGTGGTTGAACCACTTCAGTGGTTTTGAATGCAACTGATTTATTATTCTTGTGGACCTTTTCTGTGTGTACTTCAGTGAAACAGCTCTGCTCTATTTATAAATGAGATGTTTGAGAAGCATCCTTAATGTTATATGCTGCTGTGTTCCTAAAAATGGAATTTCTGAGGCATATGGGGACACCAGCTGGGCTCCTATCCATACCATTTTAGATTCTCTTCTATGGATTCTGCTGTTCGTTTATAATCAGGAACTGCGTAAGACATACGGTGATAGCATCCGGGCTCACATTTCTTCAGCTTTTAAAAATGTTCATTTTAACAATATGTATTAAAACAGGATAATCTTGGTGTTTTTTAGCTGCAATTTTCTTTGCTGTTTGCTGTTGCCTTCTAATTTTTTGCTGCCCAAGATCACAGTGAGTGCAACAGTCCATTTGCACATTATGTTAGCGGGTAGCTTTTTATATTCTTCTGAAGTCTAATTTTGGTATTTCTGAGGCTTGCCATCAGAAAGCAGAGTGCATTACATTTTAGGAGCAGATAAACTGATTTTGTTTTGATCAAATATATCCCTGTCCATCTGCATAGCCTCAGCCTTGGGGACACTCAGGAGCATTTGCAGGCAGAAGGGTGAGCAGACCTCCAGACCTCTCAGCTCTGCAGCACCTCCCTCCAGGCACATCAAGAGTATATTTACCAGGCTCTGCCTCTGACAGCTGCCTCAACCCCAGCATACTGGATTTTCCTGCTGTACACCAGCATGAACAGTTTTTTTCTCCCCTCAAGCACCTCTGAGAGACTGGACAGATCATGAAGTGCACTACGAGCATGACTGCAGCTGGAGCCAGCAGCTGCCTGGTTCTCCCTTGGACAAGTGGAAAGCTAAAGGAGGACCTATTATGGCTTCAGCTTTTGGCCTTCTCCTCCACTTTCTCTAGGGCTTTTGGTTTTCAGGGATTTTTGCGAAGGAAAGTAAAGTAAAGCAAAGCAAATATTTACAGTCTCTCTGCCACTTGAATTTCTACTGCATGCCTAGGGCTGTGAAAGCTTTACACTTGCTATTGGCCACTAGGGACTTTCCAGTATAACAGTGTTGCCTTTTTGTCATCCTCTCCTGTGTGAAAATGGCTGATAACACTTCTTAGAGTTTCTAGGTTTGACCTGATGTTTGGGGAAGAAGACACTGGGAAGACCCCAGAAAGACCCCTGCCAGGGTGGGAATTGAAGCCCTCGTGTGACTGTGATAAGCCTGCTTTTTGCTGAGCACTTGCCGAGTTGCCAGACCAAGGTATGACTAACAGCTTTGTTGCTCATAGTAAGCTGCCTGTATTTGCCTTACCATGAAGCCTCAGTCCCCTTCCAACACAGAGGATTAGGTAGTTCCTTCTGTGGTCAGTACTGGAGCTTGTTCTTTCTCTGTAGAGAATCCTAGGAACTACAGCATGTCCTGCATGAAACTTGTCCCCTGTGTCTGCTGATGCTCTCCTAGTCAAGCTGGAGGTAAGTGGGGTGTCATTAACCCTTCCAAGGTGCTTAGCTTCCACTTGGCTGTAACCGTAGGCACACAGTTTGTGGTGATTGGGAGTGGGGCTGTGGCTGACCCTCATCCCCAATGGGCTGCAGCTGTGAGCAGCAGGTGAGCAGCACTGACAGCAATGAGCCATGGAGTGCCCAGGGGCACTGACCAACCACCAAAGGGAGCAGAGGGCACACAGGTGCAGTGCATCAACATGAGGGGATAAAAGGCTGGGACAAAGAACAAGAAGGGCAGACATTTGAAGCTTTCTGGAGTGGTGTGATGTTATTCTGTATGGGCAGATGCCTGAAGCCTTCTGATGAGGTATGGTTTTACTCTGAAATGGAGTGAAGCTTTCTGAAATTGTTTGATGTTACTCTGTGTTGTGTTTGTCTCAGCTGTGACATGGGCTGTGGTGTATGCTGCCATGTAACCATCCCATGATGCAGGTGTTTGGTGATTGCTGGAGCTGGCAGCACTGTAACCAGCCTGTGCCTGGGCTCTAGCTGCGTGTTTTCTGAGAGCTGACAGCTAGTTCTCTGCCTATTGTGTCCTTGAACTCAGTTTCTTCTGTTCCCCTTGTCAGCTCTTGGTACTACGTTCTGCTGTGAGATGTGATATTCACGAGGCAGAAGGGGAGCACGGCTGTGTTTATCAGAGCATTTTGGATACCCTTTCATGCCTTCTACTCTGGTCAGTTGTCACTGGCTGTGTAAAACATTTGGAAGGTTAATCTAAGTAGGACAGTTTAATTCTGACCAAACGTTTACACCCAGAGGTTTTATTTGATTCTGACTTATCCACAGAGAATCTCTAGCTAATTCAGATAAACTGTCCTGAATTGTCTCTTGTGTAGACAAGTCCCAAGCCTTTCTCTTTTTTTTTCCCCCAGAGTGGGTCTGCTGTTTTAATATCTTCCCCTGGTGACTACAGCCAGAACAGTGTGCAGCAGTCAGAATTACTGAATCTATTCTCTAAATTGGGGGTGTAGAAGCCCCAGTGAAGAGCTTGAGTCCCCAAAACCAAATTCTTGGCACTAGTGTTCTCCTCTAACAATGTTCACAGCAAGATAAATAAGAAACCAAATCCTTTTTTGACTTATTTCTTTCTACATACTAAAATTACACCTAAATACACACATTCTGCAGGTACAGGGAACTTGTAGTCTTGGTGGCATCTTTAATGCTACCAAGCTGTGACTAACCTTAAGCTTTGAATTCCTAGGGTTGCTCTGAAGTAGGGAAATAATCCTAAAAATGTGAGTGAACATGTCTACAACTGTAAAAGAAAAACTAGAGGGATAGTATTTCTATGTTTTTGAAATATGTTTTCTTCACAGTAGAAGAAAAATCTACCTTTAGTCTGCTGTTTCATATTCTTTTGCTACTGTTGCTTAAGGAAATGCAGCTACAGTTCCTTCCGTAGCAACCTCTATTTATAAAGTAGCAACTGATGAAGGTACTCTATTCAAATATTCTAAAAATAAGTCTGATGTGATGAGAATAAAGTGCTTATTTAGTAAAACAAAAGAAGATGCCCGTTTATTCTCTTGGAAGACAGGGGACTGGAAGCTAGTCTTAGTAGAAAAGATGAGGAAGAAGATAAAGACCCTTGTCTTTTTTGTTGTTGTTTTTTTGTTTTGTTTTGTCCCATGAGAATTTAGAGAAAGCATTGTAAGGATGTTGGCTTGGATCATATAATCTTACAAAGAAAAACATAGGATGCTATTGGTTTTGTATTATGTGTATTTTGTGGACCCCCTCTCAAAGCCAGTGAACACCAGCCCAGTAGAGGAGGAATAGAAAGACTAAACAAACTATTTCTTGTCAGTTGGAGGGTGAGAGATTTCCCACGCTGTGTCTTTTCAGGAGAGAAACCAAATGAGTAGGGAGACTTGATATCAGCTGATTATGTGACAGAATTCTGTCATCCTGGGTCTCCTGTGGGAATGCTGCCTGCTTATAGTGTAAATGTTTCATTCAATTAACATTTTTCTTAGAGGAGCGGATAATTGTGAGATGTTTCAACCTCAGTTCTTTGTCAGATTAAGAGAAGTTGATATTCCCATGGCATTGGATGCTAAGCTGCTGCCTTTTATTTTCTGCCTGGTGACCTGGCTTCCCTCCATATTGAAGATATAAAAGGCTGTACACTGCATTTTAATAAAATGAATATAATGGGCTTTTTCTTCAGGAATCTGGTTAACTGTATATAGAGCTTAAGAAAATCTCTCTCATGGTTGTAATTTCTTTTGAAATTTGGGATTGTAAAGTCACTTATACCTGTATACTGCTATAGACATGACAGTAAAAGCTTTTTATAGTTGAGGAGAAGACTCACCTCTACAGGCTCAATGGAAGAGCTACAAATCTTAAGCAGTGTGGTGGAAGATATCCCAGGAGTTTGCTCACCTAGGAATCTCTTTGTGGCCCTCCTGATCACACATGTTTTGATTTTCAGATGTCCCACTCACTGCACTGTGGTTGTGGTTTCAGTTGGAAGGAAGGTTGTTGAGAAGCATTAACACAGCAGAGACCAGTACTATGGCCTTCTTCTTCATCCTCATTAGCTTTTAACATACCTGCATTACTGCCTTTTGCTACATGGCCCTGTGCCCAGTGTTCACTTCCTGAATCTGCTTCTGGCATTTTTATTTCTCAGTAGATCTCACATACTGCTGTGTCACATTGTGTAAAACCAGCAAGTGACTGGACTAAGCGATCTGGCATTTTTATTTCTCAGTAGATCTCACATACTGCTGTGTCACATTGTGTAAAACCAGCAAGTGTATTGGACTTAGGCCTTTGCCAGCATAAAATTGCTTTTTCAGATGCAGGTATGAGTATAAAAATAGAAAAATGTGGTG